ACCAAGGTGTTCCCATCTTGTATATTTCTTGCTCCAGTTCTAGAATAAGTCATTTCTCCATGGAGCCACGGTTCCTTGTATTGAAGAATGGTATTAAAATTTGAGATCTGGGAGACCTTTGACCCCATTTACCCATTTCTCCCACCTACCACTCTTCTCTAGCAACCACCAGGTTGTTCTCTGAACTTCTATTTTTGTTTGTTTTTAAGATTACACATGTAAGAGAAATCAGACAGTATTTTTCTTTCTCTGACTTTATTTCACATCATAATTCCCTTAAAGTACATCCATGTTGTTGCAAATGGTAAGATTTTATTCTTTTTATAGCTGAATAATATTCCTCTGTGTGTGTGTGTGTGTGTGTGTGTGTGTGTAAATAAATTCCTTTATCCATTCATCTATTGATGGACATTTAGGTTGTTTTCGTATCTTGGCTATTATAAACAGTGCTGCAGTGAACATGAGGGTGTGTATATCTTTCCCAGTTAGTGTTTTCATTTTCTTTGGATATATACCCAGAAGTGGAGTTGCTGGATATAGGGTAGTTCTGTTTTACCATTTTAAGGAACCTCCACACTGTTCCAGAGTGGTTGCACCAATTGACACCGCCATCAACAGTGTACAAGGGTTCCTTTTTCTCCATATACTCAGCAACACTTGTTATGTTTTGTCTTTTTCATAATAATCATTCTTGCAGGTATGGGGTGATGCCTTATTGTGGTTTTGATTTGGTTTTGCCTGATGATCAGTGATGTTGAGCATATTTTATGTATCTGTTGGCCATCTGTATGTTTTCTTTGGAAAAATGTTCAAATGTCTTCTCTGGAAAAATATTAAAATCTTCTGCCTATTTTAAAATCAGATTTCTTTTTTGATATTAAGTTGTAGGAGTTCTTTATATATTTTGGGTATTAATCTCTTACCAGATATGATTTGCAAATATATCTGCAAATCAGTCAATGCGATACACAACATTAAGAAAATGAAAAATAAAATCACATAATTTCAATAGATGCAGAAAAATGATTTGACAAAATTCAACATCCATTTATGATTAAAAAAAAACTCAATAAAATGGATATTGATTGCATATTATCTGCCAAGAAGTGGATGAGTGTTCTTTTAATCCCTATAATTCAATCAGACAGGTACTTTTATATCCATGTTACAGTTGAGAAAACTCAGGTTTGGTTAGATAATTTGCTTACGTTCGTATATGTAGTAACTAGTACAGCTGGGATTTAACCTCATGTCAGTATGATTCCCAAGTATGTACTCTTAGTCACTATGTATCCTCTATAGCAGGGTTTCTTTACTTTGGAATTACTGACACTTTGGGCTGGATAATTCTCCATTGTAGAGCACTGTCTTGTGCATTGTAAGATGTTTAGCAGGATCGCTGGGCTTCTCTCAATGGGTGCCTATAAGAGCCCCCAGTTGTGACAGCTGAAACTGTCTCCAGACATTGTCAGATTTCCTCGGTATCAAATTGCTCATGAAAACCCCTGGCTTAGAGAAGCGTGATAAAATGAACGCTGAAAATTGAATTGCATCCATACTTGGGAGAATTGTAAATTGGGTAAAAAGTTGTATCTGAACTTCCCTGAGTGTAATGACTCTTATAATTTGACAAGCTCTTTGGGGAACAATGAGTGCTCTGTTCAGAGTTGTTAAAAGAGATACTGGCTCAGGGGCACCTGGGTGGCTCAGTGGGTTAAAGCCTCTACCTTCGGCTCAGGTCATGATCCCAGGGTCCTGGGATCGAGTGAGTCCCACATTGGGTTTCCTCCTCTCTCTCTGCCTGCCTCTTTGCCTATTTGTGATCTCTGTCAAATAAATGAATAAAATCTTAGAAAAAAAAAAGATACTGGCTCTTTTGGGAAGGCTTTTCAGTCCATATGCTTTTTGTACAACCTCTGTGGATCTCTTGACTTGGCTATACCCTATAAGGACTCCCACTGAAGAACAATGCCAGTTACTCTGCTAGCAAGTTGTATTTTCTCTCCAGTGGCCTTCTGAATGAATTAGTACCAAATATGGCCCGTGTAGTCTTCTGAGCCTAAATGTTTAGTTGAGCCTATAACTTCCGTAGTGAACATTGCAGACTGGCCCATAGTGAGTCCTAACAAATGAAAACTCCTAATCATTATAATCTTGGAATGTACTTTTTTTAATTGAAGTAAAATTAGCATACAATATTAGTTTCAGGTATACAACACATTCTACAGTTCTATACAGCACTTAAAATGCTCACCACTATAAGTGTTGTTACCATCTGTCATGATAGATTATTACAGTTTACTACCTATATTCCTTATGCTGTACTTCTCATCACTGTGACTAATTTTGTAACTGAAATTTGTACTTCTTAATTCCCTTTATTTTTCATATCCCCCCACTCACCTCCACTCTGGCAACCACCATATTTAAGAGTCTTTTTGGTTTGTTTGTTCGTTCATTTGTTTTGGTTTTTAGATCCACATGTAAGTGAAATTGTACGGTATTTATTTTTCTCTCTTATTTCACTTAGTGTAATATCCTGTAGATCCACCCATGTTGTTGCATACAGCAAGATCTCATCCTTTTTTTTTAATGGCTGAGTGATATCCCATTGTATATGTACACTACCTCTTCTTTTTTTTTTTAAAAAAAAAGATTTTATTTATTTATTTGACAGACAGAGATCACAAGTAGGCAGAGAGGCAGGCAGAGAGAGAGGTGGAGGGAGGCTTCCTGTGGAGCAGAGAGCCCAATGTGGGGTTCGATCCCAGGACCCTGGGATCATGACCTGAGCCGAAGGCAGAGGCTTAACCCACTGAGCCACCCAGGCGCCCCATACTACCTCTTCTTTATCCATTCATCTTGGGTTGCTTTCATATCTTAGCTATTGCAAATAATTCAATAAACATAGGGGTACATATATCTTTTTAAATTACTGTCTTCATTTTGTTCAGTTAAATACCCAGTGGTGAAATTACTGGATCATGTCCTATTTCTGTTTTTAATTTTTTGACAAACCTCTGTATTGTTTTCCACAGTGGTTGCACCAGTTGACATTCCCACCAGCAGTATACAAGATTCCTTTTTCTCCACATTCTTAGCAACACTTGTTATTTCTTGTCTTTTTGATACTAGCCATTTTCTGACAGGTCTGAAATGATAGCTCATTGTGGTTTTGATTTGCATTTCCTGATGATTGGTGATGTTGAGCATCTTTTCATGTAGCTATCGGCCATTCATATATTTTCTTTGGGAAAATGTCTATTCAGGTCCTCTGCCCATTTTTTTGATTGTGTGTGTGTGTGTGTATGTGTGTTTCAAATTGTATATATTCTTTATATATTTCAGATATTAACTGCCTATCAGATATGTGATTTTCAAATATATTCTCCCATTCAGTAGGTTGCCTTTTTGTTTTGTTGATGGTTTCCTTTACCATGCAAAAGTTTTTGTTTTGATGTAGTCCCAATAGTTTATTTTTGCGTTTGTTTTTCTTGTTTAAGGAGACATATCCATAAATGTGTTGCTAAGGTCTCGGACATGTTGCTAATGTCCGAGAAATTACTGCCTTTATTACTGTTATGAGTTTTATGGTTTCTGGTCTCTTATTTATTTTATCATTTTGAGATTATTTTTGTATATGGTGTAAGAAAGTGGTCCAGTTTTATTCTTTTGCATGTAGCTGTCCAGTTTTCCAGCACCATTTATTGCAGAGACTGTCCTTTCCCCATCATGTATGCTTGCCTCACTTATCATAGATTAATTAACCATATAGGTATGGAGTTTTTTCCTGGCTCTCTAACCATTTCTTTTTTTTTTTTTTTAGATTATTTATTTATTTATTTGACAGACAGAGATCATAAGTAGGCACAGAGGCAGGCACAGAGAGGAAGGGAAGCAGGCTCCCCACTGAGCAGAGAGCCAAATGCGGGGCTCGATCCCAGGACCCCGGGATCATGACCTGAACAGAAGGCAGAGGCTTTAACCAACTGAGCCACCCAGGCGCCCCTCTCTAACCATTTCTGTGTCATTGAAATGTACGTTTAGATTTTTCTCTGGCAATGAAATGACTCATATTTATTCTCTTACTTTTTTAAATAATTGTTTCTTAATTTCTAGTGGTATTCCAATTTTATTCATTTTATATAATCTTACTGATATTTTAGTGAGAATTTGCTTTTTAGGCATCACTAGTGTAAAGCCTTAATAACTTGAATATCCTTCTGAAGATGTGTTTTGCTTAGTTTTAAAGCAAAAATGTGTTGGAGCACATAGGTGGCTCAGTTGGCTAAGTGTCTGCCTTTGGCTCAGGTCATGATCCCACGGTCCTGGGATCCAGCTCCATGTTGGGCTCCCTGCTCAGCGGGGAGTCTACTTCTCCCCCCCCCCCCGGCTTCCTCTGCTTGTGCTCTCTCTCTTTCTCTCTATTAAATAGACAAATAAAATTTAAAAAAAAAAAAAGCAAAAATATGTTGTCACCTGGTGCAGGAAAAACCTAATTGCAATTAAATTATGAGGTTTGTTTTAAAAGGACTGTTTCATTTATCACTTTTTGTGTGATGTTTGTGTTTTCTGTCTTTTTGGTGGGTGATAAGGGGAAAGAGATAGTATATTTTCTTGTTATAAAAATGGGAAACAAGAGGCACCTGTGTGGCTCAGTGGGTTAAGCCCCTGTCTTTGGCTCTGGTTGTGATCTCAGGATCCTGGGATCGGCCCCACATGGGGCTCTCTGCTCGGCAGGGAGCCTGCTTCCCCCTTCCCTTCTGCGTGCCTCTTTGTCTACTTGTGATCTCTCTCTCTCTGTCAAATAAATAAATAAAATCTTTTTAAAAAATGGGAAACAAGAATGGAATGATAACTTAAAATATTTATTAGACAATTATTAAGAATATTATTTGTATTATAATATATTTTAACACTATGCTAATATGTGTTCATTAAATATAGGTCATATTGGTGTCTTTTTTCATTCTCTCAGGTTTGTTGGCTGTCAGGATTGTTGGCTGAAGCTCCTGGAATTTTTCTCTTATTGAGATAGAACTTGGCTGAAATCACATTGTACATATATTGTACACAAATGCTTAGCCCAAGCCCGAGAATTACTAGAATCCTCCAGTTAGACAAATTCAAACTACAGTGGGAGTTCTGTCTAGGAAGATGCAGCCTTTGAACAAGTTGATGGCTATCTCAAAACCTCAAAAACTGATTCGACGTGAACAAAGTGAAGCCCTGAAAGCAGAAGTGTCCTGGCAGCAGGAATCCATCCCAGTCATGGAAACATACGACTCTGAGGCCTCTCGTCAAAAGTTCAGACATTTCCAGTATTTGGCAGTGTCTGGGCCTCATGAAGCCCTTTGTCAACTCTGGGAGCTCTGTCTTCAGTGGCTGAGACCAGACGTTCATACAAAGCAGCAGATCCTAGAGCTGTTGGTGCTAGAACAGTTTCTGACAATTCTCCCTGAAGACATCAGGACTTGGGTGAATTTACAGCATCCAAAGAACAGCAAAGAAGTGGTGTCCCTCATAGAGGATGTGATTGAAATGCTTAAAGATGAAGGTGAGAATGTAGAAAATTGGTAGTAGAATTATTATTATTATTGACCTTTACGTGAAATCCAAAAAAAAAAAAAGGAAAAATTAGCTCGTACATACAGGGAACAGATTGGTTGCCGGAGGTGAAGGATGGACAAAATGGGTGGAGGGTCACAAGTATAGAAACTTCCAGGTGTAAAATAAATAAGTCATGGGGATGTAATGTACAGGATAGTGACTATAGTTGATAATATTGTATTGCATATTTGAAAGTTGTTAAGACATTAGATCTTAAGGGGCGCCTGGGTGGCTCAGTGGGTTAAAGCCTCTGCCTTCAGCTCAGGTCATGATCCCAGGGTCCTGGGATCGAGCCCTGCATCAGGCTCTCTGCTCCAAGGGGAGCCTGCTTCCTTCTCTCTCTGCCAGCCTCTCTGCCTACTTGTGATCCCTGTCTGTCAAATAAATAAACAAAATCTTTAAAAAAAAAAAAAAAAAGACATTAGATCTTAAGAGCACTCATTACAAAAAAAAAATTTTTGTAACTATATGTGGTGACAGATGTTAACAGACTTACTTTGGTGATCATTTTGTAATATACATTAAATATTGAATCATTATGTTGTTCACCTGAAGCTAATAGAGTTGACCCATGAACAACATGGTTTTAAACTGTGTGGGTCCAATTATACATGGGTGTTTTTCAATAAATACAGCACAGTACAGTAAATGTATTTTCTCTTATGATTTTCTTAACATTTTCTTTTCTCTGCCTCACTTTACTGTATGTAATACATATAAAAATATGCATTAGACTGCTCATGTTTTTGTTATGGCTTCTGGTCAGTGGTAGGCTATTAGTAGTTAAGTTTTGGGGGAGTCAGAAGTTATATGCCGATTTCCAACTACTCAGGAGGTTGGTGTCCCTGACCACTCTTGTTGTTCAAGGGTCAACTGTAGGATGTTATATGTCAATTATATGTCAGTTAAAAAGAAAAAAAAGAACCTTAAAAAAAGAGTAACTGACTCTTTCCATATGAAAAGAAACTATCTTTTTCTGAAGCTAGAGGGTGTCAAGGGCCAGATCATGATTACTATATCAGGAAGCACAGATTTTATTTTGTAGGAAATGAAAGTAGAGAATGAGATCTCACAGCATGGGTAGGGGAGTAAAACGATTTGATTTGCCTTTTAAAATATCATTTTGATATCAATATGGAGTAGGTGGTTGGCAAACTATGGCCACCAAACCAAAAGTTTTTGGAGATAGTGCTTTTGGAACACAGCCATGCCCACTGATGTACTTTTAGTCTACAGTTGATTTCATGCTATGAGCAGAGTTGATTGGCTATAGCAGAGACTATATTGCCTGCAAAACCCAGAATAGTTGCTATCTGGATCTTCACAGAAAAAGTTTATCAGCGTCTTGTTTAAGGGATAGATCTGATGACTCTGAAAACAGGAAAATGAGTTAAGATAGATGAGGTGTTAAAGAATGTGGGAGTATTGGGAAAACAGGAATTTGAACCTGAAGAAATTATGGGCTGCATATAAGATGTGAGTAGGGGTAAGATTTGATGTAAATGTGCATGCTCTGCCACACATGAATAGGGCACAAGTAGCAGATGTTATGGGAGGGGATTTATACAGTACTTATGTGGCATGTTGAATTTGAGATCTCTATAGGTTTGGAAATTTACAGGTGTGAATAGAAGTAGGAAAAATACATATCGTTAGGGAGCATCAGTATTTAAGGTCTGTCATAGATCTAACTGTCCATTACAGGAAATACAGAGGATGGAGGAACATGTTAAATCATATCATGGGAATGCCATTAGTAAAATCTAAACTCTGGGAAACTGCAAGACAATCTAGTTTCTAAAACAATGATTTGATTTATTTATTTTTTAAAGATTTATTTATCTGACAGAGAGAGACACAGTGAGAGGGAACAGAAGCAGGGGGCATGGGAGAAAGAGAAGCAGGCTTCCTGCCAAGCAGGGAGCCTGATGCGGGGCTTGATCCCAGGACCCTGGGATCATGACCTGAGCCGAAGGCAGACGCTTAAATGACTGAGCCACCCAGGCACCCCTAATTTTATTTTTTTAAAAAAGATTTTGCTTATTTAGAGAGAGCACACATGCTCAAGCAGGCAGAAAGGAAGAGAGAGTCTCCAGCAGACTCAATACTGAGCAGGAGCCCAACATGGGGCTCCATCTCATGAGCCTGGGGTCATGACCTGAGCCGAAATCAAAGGTTGGACGTTTAACCAGCTGAGCCACCCAGGCACCTCTCTACAACAAAATAATTTTAAGGGAGAAGTGGTGATACGGACAAGGGATTTAGAAATTAAATGTAAAAGATGTATAACAAATCAAGAGGGTGTGTGAACCTTATAAGTCATGAGGCAGTTGATTGAATATTTGACAAGGAATTATTGGCTGGGGAGAGTGATGATACTATAGCTATATTTAGTCCTTATTTGAAAAAGAAATAAAAGATTAAACAGAAGAAGAAAAGCCAGGCAAGCAGGCTAGAAAGCATAATCTGGGACATCAGAGAACCAGGAAATGTTAGCATCTTGAGCTAGGAAAAGAGAAATATTCAAGAAGGGAGTATCAACACTGGTATGACAAAAAGGTTCTCCTATTATGATGAGTATTGAGGGTGCCTGGGTGGCTCATTTGATTAAGTGACTGCCTTCAGCTCAGTTCATGATCCTGGAGTCCCAGCATCAAGTCCCACATCATGCTCCCTGCTGGGCAGGTAGTCTCCTTCTCCCTCTGATCCTCTCTCTTCTCATGCTCTCTCTCTCTTTCTCTCTCAAATAAATAAATAAAATCTTTTTTTAAAAAGCTTAAAAAAGATGAGTATTAAAAGCAATTTAATGAAATTGTTGATTATGAAGTAATTTTTAAGCTTTAGAACAGTTTCAGAGAAGGAGTTGAGGTGGTGCTTGGTAGTTAGTTATGTTAGTTTTCTATTGCTGCCATAACAAATGACCACAAAGTTAGTGAATGTATTATTCTACAGGTCTGTAGGTCAGTAGTCCAAAATGGGTCTCCCTGAACAAAAATCAAGGCATCAATAGGACTGCATTCCTTTTTGGACCTCATGATTCCTTTCACCCATCTTCAAAGCTTGCGGTGGTGAGCCATGTGCTTTCCACACTGCTTTCTCTTACCCTCCATTCTGTTGTCACAGTACATCCACTTGCTTAGAGCATGGTTGCTCTCTCTCCCCCTCTCACTTACCCTGACCACAGCTGGGAAACCTGTTTTTTAGGATTCATGTGATTAGATTGTGATCACCCAAATCATAAAGGGTGATTCCTCATCTCTCAAGGTCCTTAACTTTAATCGTATCTGCTGAATCCCTTTTGCCAGTGTATCCAAGGATTAGGGGTGTGTATCTCTGGGGTCTATTATTCTCCCTATCACATACATACTCCCCACCAGCACGACCACCAAAAAGAGATGGATGGCTAAGGTGTGAATGTGATAATGATTATAGACTATTCTTGAAGTCTGGTTGAGAAGGAAAGGAGAGGTTGTCAGGTAATAAGAGGACTGAGGAAGGTTTTTAATTTGTTTTAACCTGTCTTGGCTCACTAAAGAACCCACCCAAAGGGCTTGCCCTTGTTTTATCTGAGTCAGAACTCTCCCAGGGCAGAGGTGGCCACCTGGGCAGCATTTGTCAAAGCATTTAATGGGAAACGTATTAGCCTCTCCCACCTAAGACAGTGAACACAAAAGGATTGGGAGGAAAGGCTGAGGGGTAGGAGATGCTTTGGGGAATAAGGTGTTTGGAAAAGTTCTTACATACTCCTAGAGATCTAGAAGGCTGGGTACGTGTTCAGAAAGACCTGATAAGGCCTTACTTAACTCTCACCTCTGGCTGACCTTCAAGCTTTGCATAAACAGAAACTAAAGACTAAGGTAATGTTGAAAACTGATCTGGCTAAGTGTTGAAGGCACGTCTCAACACCTGCAGCCCATCTGCAAAGACCAGGAAATGACTTTTGTTTGTGGTTGTTCTGTTCTGTTCTGTTTTGATTCCAGGTAGCTAAGGAAATCTCTTAGGAATCATTAGCTGACCACTAAGCTAAGGGAACAGACTTAAGTGGGTACACACAACAAAGAATATAGATGTTACAAATAAGTTAAAAAAAAGTAAGTCAGTGATGAGCAAGAATTAAAACAGGCCCACAGAAATTGACAAAAATGAGGGAGAAATAGATCAAGAACAAGAGCTGGAGACTTAAGCACCCCGCTTTTCATTAGTGGATAGAACAAGGGGAAGAAAGACGAAAAAGGAAATAGAAGACTTTAACTACTCTATAACCAAGTTAGACCTAACAAATATATAAGCACTCTACCCAACAACAGCAGAATGTATATTCTTTTCAAATGCACATGGAGTATTTTCCAGGGTAGACCAAATGTTAGGCCAAAACAAGTGACAATTAATTTAAACATTTAAATCATACAAAGTATCTTTTTTGACCACAAGAGAATGAAATTAGAAATCAGTAATAGAAGGAACTCTAAAGGGACGCCTGAGTGGCTCAGTTGGTTAAGAGTCTGCCTTTGGTTTGGCTCAGGTCATGATCCCAGGGTCCTAGAATGGAGCTTCACATTGGGATCCCTGTTCAGTGGGGAGCCTGCTTCTCCCTCTCCTTCTGCTGCTCCCCCTGCTTGTGTTCTCTTGCACTCTATCTCTGTCAAATAAATAAAATATTTTTTAAAAAAAGAAGGAAATCTGGAAAATTCATAAATATGTAGAAATTTTAAAAAGATTACGCAGAGATAAATGAAATAGAGGATAGAAAAACAACAGGATCAATGAAACAAAGTGGGTCATTTGAAAAAATAAAATTGACAAAGACTTAACTACACTGACCAAGAAAAAAAGAATACTTCCTAACTTATTGATGATGAGTTTTAACCTGATGCCAAAGCCAGGCGAAGTCCTCACAAGAAAAGAAAACCAGCAAGCCACATCCAGCAGCATATTAAGAGGATAATACACCATGACCAAATGGGATTTTTCCCAGGAATACAGGATGGTTCAACATATGAAAATAAATATTATACACCATTCTAATCGGGGAAAATCACAAGGTCCTCTTTTTTTTTTTTTTAATAAGATTTTATTTATTAGAGAGAGTACAGCGTGCCCAAGTTGGGGAGAGGGGCAGAGGGAGAGGCTGAGGGAGAAGCAGACTCCCCACTAAGCCAGGAGCCTGTTGTGGGACTCAATCCCAGGACCCCGAGTTCATGACCTGAGCTGAAGGTAGACACTTAACAGATTAAGTCACCCAGGTGCACACAAGGTCCTCTTGATACAGAAAAAGCATTTGACAGAATCCAATGCCCTTTCATGATAAAAACACTCACATACTAGGATTAGAAGGGAATTTCTTTTACCTGATAAAGGGCATCTATGAAAAACCTATAGGAAGCATCTTACCTAATGGTTAAAGACTGAAAGCTTTGCCCTTAGAATAAGGAGCAAGACAAGGATGCCCACTCTGGCCACTTCTCTTCAACATTATACTGGAGGTACTAGCTAGTACAACTAAAAATATCCTAATTGGAAAGGAAGAAGTAAAGCTATCTTTACTGTCATGTGATCTATTCTTAGGCAGTTTATCCTTGAACAACATGGGTTTAAAATGCATAAGTCACTTTTATGTGATTTTTTTTTAAGATTTCATAGCAAAAGCCATAAGGCATTTATTTACAACTGCCTATCCCAGTATCCACAAATCGAAAGGAAGACGACTGGTTCAGAGTTCACACCTACTGCCATTTGAGTACCCAGAGAGGCCTGCAGAGCCCATCAGCAGCCCTTGGAATCTCTTGAACTGGGTTACCTATCTTTTTTTTTTTTTTTTCATTAAAAGTAATTTAAAAATAATAATTTTAAAAAGACAGCCTGTGTTCATGTATTGGGTGACTTAATGTTAAGATGATAATACTCCATAAAGCACTCTGCAGGTTCGAATGCAATTCATAGCAAAACCCCAGTTACCTTTTTTTGCAGAAACGGACAAGGTGGTCCTAAAGTTCATATGAAAATACAAAGGACTCCAAATACTTACAACAGCCTTGACAAAGAATAAAAGTTAAGGATGCATACTTTCAATGTCAAAACTTACTGCAAAGCTGTAGACTTTAGTTAGGACAGAATTCAAGTTATTTTTTGGAATCTGCTACAACCACAGATGAAGCCTCAAAATATTAGTTTGGTCTTCTTCACCCTGATCCAATATTTCTCAACCTCTGGTAGAGTATCAGAATAATTTTTAGAGTTTTTAAAAACTATAATATCTGAGCCCACCGTTGGAGATTCTGATTGCTGGTAGGGCCTGACATCGTTATTTTTCCAAAGCTTTGAAGATGATTCCTATGACTAGTATGTTAGAACTACTGCTATAATCATTAAATGTTTCTCCAGGACAAATCATGTCTCCCTAACGTTTTCTTTCATCTTTCTCAGAGCTACCCTGCAAGGATTCTGTCCTCCAGAAGGGGAGCATCAAGGAGAAAATGGAATCTGACTCACTAACTGGTGATTCCCAGGTGAATTCGGATCCTACTCTTTACTGAAATGATCTGCTTTTTCTTTTTCGGCTTTTGAGCTTTTGCTAAATATAGTCCATCTAAGGATGTAAGACTGTTATTTCTCCCATAGGACATTGGATCTGTTTTATTTTAGTTAATGATACACTCTGGAAAATATTTAATCCTTGTATTTTTCTGTGCATCTGCTCCCTCTGGTTTAATAGACAGTAATCAAAGCCATAGAAATAGAGCCCACCAGAGAATGTTTGGAATTAAATGTGAGGGGAGCCAAGGCTAGAGTCCTGAGTAATGTCATTGAATAGTCAGGAGCAGGAGAAATCCCAAAGGATACTGAAATAAAAGCATCAAAGTGGTAGAGGAAAACCAGGAAGATACGATGTCACTGAAAGGCAAGGAGGAGAATTTTACAAGGATAAATCCTTTAAAAAATTCAGGAAAATCCAGCCTGAGTGGGGCTTATTCCCTTACTATCATGAAGATACTAATAGAAGGCAGGTTGCAGAGGGTTGAGGGAAGAAGCTGAGGAAGTGGGCAAACTAATGTAGATGATTTTCTCATGTCATCTGATGTTGTGGAGTCATCTGGCTCTGAGGCACAGGGAGGGAAGAGATTTGTGTATTTCACTGTGACTAAAGGTGCCCATTATGATAAGCTCAGGAATGCTAAAGAGGGAAGTGCAACAGGTGATGGTGTGAAGGCCCTCATGAGAAATACCTGTGCAGGGTCTGATATACCATTGCTAAGGGCCAGGAATATGATGATAAATGAAAGGAAATCCTTTGTGGAAATGACAGTCGAGGCAGACAGGCACACACAGGGAAGTAAGATAATTGCAGATAGTAATAATTATTAAAAAGAAATGAAACAGTGCAGTAGAGACTGATGAGGAGGGTGGCTACTTCATCTTGGGTAGTCAGGAAGGACTGGCTGACCGGCCTGGGAAGGAGTTAGCAGGCTGCCTTTCTCAGTTAGGGAAAATGCCCTACCTCTTCTGCTAGCAGAGTCTTCATCTTCATTACAAATTCCCCTCACATCTATCCAAAACTCTTTTTGTTCTGAACTCCTTCTGTGGCAGGTATTTTTACTCTATAGTAATTTTTTGTTCCAGATTTTTGCAACTTTTTTTTTTCTCAACCAAAATAAAAGTTAATTGAGGGTTAGTACTGCACTTGATTTCCTTTTGTAGCCCTCACGGAATACCAAGTTGATAGGCCTCGAGTATAACTTGATTTTCATCACTTAGAACCCCAAACATTTGTCAGTTTCTTACATATTCTGATGATCTACCCTATTCTTTCCTAATTCATTTCTCCTCTGGTAATATTTTTGGGAGTGACCTTTGGTTACAAAGGAATTTAATGTTTTAGGAACCAGTAACATTCAAAGATGTGATTGTGGAATTCAACGAGGAAGAGTGGGGACAACTGGACCCTGCTATAAAGACTCTGCACAGGGATGTGATGCTGGAGAACTATAGGAACCTGAATTCGTTGTATCAAGGTGGTTTCTGTGTATTTACCTCCTCTGCCTGTCAGTAGTCTCTTCATCTGCTGCTAAAAACCAGAGGACGACTGCAGTGGTTAAGGGTACTTGGGTTTGGGTTCAGGTTTCCTAATATCCTTTGGGCATAATAACACGTTTTCCTGTTGTGTATCTGAGTGGAAGTCCTTCCGGTGACTGCTAGCCTTTCAGAGGCTCTTAGACTACAGAAGAATGGAATCTCTTCCCTTTAAAAATGGCTGAGGTGTCTGTTTTGTTGTTTGTTTTTTTTTCATTTTCCGCATGAACAGAACATCTATTTTCCAAGCCAGTTGAGATCTCCAAGTTGGAGAGTAAGGAAAGAAGATGGACAGTGGAGCACAAAATCCCAAGCACATCTGTTTTGGGTAAGAACCAGGCAGATACAAGGCAGCTGTAAGAAGCTTCTGTTTATAAATACACAGTGTACTGTTAACAGCCTTAGAGTAAGAGTCAGGGAGGTGACGACAAAACCGCCCAGGCTTTGAAGGGGAAAAGTCACCATTGCCTTTCGTTCACAGATTCTTTTCCTTTGGGGGATAGGCAAAAGAATGTTGTAGGTGAGGAACACAGACGCCTTTAAAGCTGTGTGGTCCAGAGCAACCTACCTGCCAGTCTCCTCATCTGTAACATGGGAGTTTATTACAGTACTTACCTCCACATTCCTGTGAGGCTTAAGTGAGTCATATGTGTAGCACAATTAGAACAGTGCCTAGCACGTGGTAAGTGCTATGTAAACAAACATTAGCTAACCCAACAGGAAATCATATTCTTTCTTTTAAAGAAAACAGAATGTTCTGCTTTATACTAGAGTGACTTTAGTAATCTTCCATTTTTCCTTCGTTTACTATAGAACTTCTTGTGCCCTAACTTTCTACCTTCATGTAATCTCTTAATTCTTACTAACATTTTGTTTGTGGGAGATTGTTGATTATTGTATGCTTAATGTAAATTTTAGTACATGTAGAAAAGTTTAAAGAGGAATAGAGCTCACCCCATTACCTCACTCCCCAGAGCTGTGCAGTATTAACATTTTTGATTTATTTTCTTAGACTTTTTTCTTTGTAATGATGTGTCTCTGTGGCTTGTGAAGATTTGTTTTTTTCCAAAATTGGGATCATCAGGGATATGTGACTTTATATTCTGCTCTTCTCACCTAATATGATACCATGGGCAATTACCTGTGTCACTAAATAGTCTGTGAAAGCATGGTTTCTAATTCACATGTAATGTTCTATCATATACATGTATTATAATATATGTAACCGTTCCCCCCAGCTATTGGACATTCAGATTGTTGCCAAGTTTTCAGGCACATCTGATAAGTCTCTTGGGATATACTTATTAGAAGAGAAACTCCAGCATCAAGGGGCATGAATTTATTTAAGTCCTGTTACATTGTGCTGTATTGTCTGTAGAAAGGTTATACCAATCCGTACTGTCACTAATAATATATTATCTATTTATTATTATCACCCTAGCACCCTCTTGTTTACCTAAAATCTTTATTGATTTGAAAGGCAAATTATTCAATTTCTTCCTTTCTCAGGTAAATTTCCCTGCCCCCCCTTTTCTTTTGGACCCCATTTCTCGCTGCCTTCTTTCACTTACATTTTTACCATTTCTACTTCATCCTCACATTAGCTTTTCAACATTTTTAAATCATTACTGATTTGAAAATTTTTTCTCTCAACGTGTTACTCTATTTCTCACCTCTTTATAGCCAGTCTTCTCAAAATATTTTGTACTTTTCTCATTTCCTCACCCATTCCAGTTTAGCTCTTATTCTACATCTCCATCTGAAACAGTCCTTACTAAAGGTCATAGAAGACTTTCTTGTAGCTAACTCCAGTGATATTTTTTTATTCCTTATCTTACATTACCTGCTCCTCGCTCTTAAAAACACTCGTAGGTTCTTACAATGCTTCTGATTTTCCTCCTCTCTTTCTGGCCTTTCTCTGTCTGGTGGAGACTTCTCTTTCTCTAACTCTAATTTCAGAGTTTCTCGACATGTGGTCTCATTTTGTCATCTTTTCTTAGTCTGTGTTTTCTTCTCTAGGTTATCACATTCACAACTGCAGCTTCACTTACCACACACATGGAGGCAACTTACAAATTTGTGTCCCCAGCCCAGGCTTCCTTTCTGAATTGAAAAATCTGCAGATACATGACATTTCTCTTGGATATCTTTTTTTTTAAAGATTTTATTTATTTATTTGACAGAGAGAGAGATCACAAGTAGGCAGAAAGGCAGGCAGAGAAAGAGAGAGGAAGAAGCAGGTTCCCCACTGAGCAGAGAGCCTGATGTGGGGCTTGATCCCAGGACCCTGAGATCATGACCTGAGCCGAAGGCAGAGGCTTAACCCACTGAGCCACCCAGGTGCCCTCTCTTGGATATCTTAAAGATGACTCCCGTTCTATAAAACCAAAGTCATAACTTTTTCTTTTCCAGTCTTCTTCCATTGTTCCCTGAGCAAATGGCACTGCCATCCATCCAGTTACACAAGTATAGTGATTATCCTTAACACAACTTCATCTCCTTCACCTCTCTAATACTTGGTTTTATCTCTCTAAATATCTCTTGAATGTCTCCACTTCTCTTCATCTGTAGTGCCACAATCCTAGTCCATGTACCATCACCATCTCTCAACTATCCTTGCAGTTTCTCAATTCATCATACAGGAAGATCTTGCCATGCCTCTTCGCTCTTTTTCCCCAACTCCAGTGTTTGAGCCACAGTTCAGTCAGAGAGATCAAGTTCTGTCATATGCTTGCTTAAATCACTGTGCTGACTGCAGTTTTGCCTGCTTCAGAACACAGTAGTCCCCACCTGTTTCTCCAGCCATGCCTCACCCTGCATCCTCCCCTCACTCTTTGCACCCAGACCATACTGCTCTGCTTTCAGTCAGCATCAAATATGTATTAGCATCTCCTGTGTCCTCAGCACTCTGATAGGTGTTGGAGGACTGCAGAGAAAAGAATTCCACAGGACATACATTCCAGATGTCCCTCAACTGGGGCTTGCCCTCCATCTCAGGGCCTCTGTTCATGCGGTTTTCTTACATAAAATGCTCGTTCTCTTGTTCTTTGCCTAGTTGACTCCTTGTCTTCCTTCAGATCTCAGATACACATTTCCTTAGGGAAGCCTGTCTTGGTTCGTTTTTTTCTGTTATATACTCCCATAAGACCATAATCATCTCTTTTTAGCATTTATCACAATTATATTTTACTTTTATCTGTATAGGTCTTTGTCTCCCACATTAGGCTTTATGTTCCTGAGGGTAGAGACCGTGTCTCTCTTTTTTTTTTTTTAAGATTTTATTTATTTATTTGAGAGAGAATGAGTGAGAGAGAGCATGAGAGAGAAGGTCAGAGGGACAAACTAACTCCCCAAGGAGCTGAGAGCCCGATGCAGGACTCGATCCTGGAAGTCCAGGATCATGACCTGAGCCAAAGGCAGTCGCTCAACCAACTGAGCCACCCAGGCACCCAAGACATGTCTCGTTTTGCCCTACCTTTATATCTCAAGCTTTTGCACATCTGTAGGAACTAAAGGGAAAAACTGGATAGGTAAATATTGGATTATGAGAAAGGTAAAATTAGTTTATTTGTTTTGGTCATTTGTGATTCAGTGAATGGCTTTATGTACTCTATCTATTAAGACTTTGGAGGTTTTTAGGTAAGATCTCATGGAAATTCCCACTGTTGATCACAGTTTTGGCAAATGAAATATCGCTGAGGTTTTTTATTATTTTTTTATGGTGTCTGCCAAACATATTTTTAAATTTATGTTATCACATATCTTCCCCCCACCCTCCCCGTGCTTTATATCTCTTATTTTTAGGCATAAGAATTTTTCCATCCCCAAATTAGAAATATATTTCTTGATTTTATTCTGATTTCATCTATTTCATCCTTTAAATATAATACTTCAATCAATCTGGAATTTACCTCGGTAAATGTAGTTTATTTTCCAAAAAGTTAATGGACTACAGTGGATTAAAGATGGCTCCAGAATCTTTGTCACTCTTGCCATCAAGATGCAACCTTTGTATTCCTGAAACTAATGTCATATTGTGTGTCAACTATACTTCAGTTAGAGGGAAAAAAAAGGATACAGATTTTGTTTCCCTACCCTTTGAATCTCAGCTAGTACTGGACTGTTTAATCAATACAGTGCAGCAGAGGGGACACTGCTGGTTCCAGGTCTAGCCTGTAATAGGATTTGTAGCTGCCACTTCTTTCTCTTGGAAGTTAGCACCCACTACTTCAGCTAGCTTGACATTGCTATTTGTGAGAAGCCCAGCGTAGCCACATGAAATGTACATACATGCACACACACTTAAAGGATCATCAGATGATCAGAGGCACATCTAGATTTAAGTGCTAATGATCCAAGTTTAATTATAAACAGTTTAAGGTAAATTTGGATAGAGAATATAAAACCAGATTTTGGACAGCTTAATTAAATAGTCAGAACCTTGAAAAGAGAATCCTGTGGATTTTAATCTGTAAACACAGATAGGTCTTTGGAATGATTTGAGAAGTTGGGGGAACACTGAGATAGGTCAAAGAAAGGCAGAGGTGGTTTGGCATGGGCTGGTCTCCAGACACCCAGGATTGGGATGATAGGCTAAGGTTTAAAGTGTTCATTCTTGTTTCAGATTAGAGACAAGAACAAAGTCTTATAGGTAAAGCATAGTTTGTGAGTTTGGGATTAATAGGAATAAGACATTTACTCAAAATCTATTAAGCACAAAAGGCAAACAAATCATGGGTGTAAAGATAAACAGTAGTGTTTCCACTAAAATCAATAGATGAGCGTGTTGCTATAATTATTTTGTGTTGACCTGAAAGACATAACTAATGAATTTTTAAAAAATGAGAAATTTAATTACTAGAAAAGAGGAAAAAGGGCTATTATTTGTAAATGGTAACTTTCTACTTAGAAAATCCAAGAAACTCATTGTGAAAACTATTACAGCTGTTAAGAGTTTTGTAAGGTGGCCAGATATAAAATAAAAATATTGGTAGCTTTCCTATATGTTAGAACTAAGTGATTTGAAAATAAAAAATATATGAAAGTGATTTTTAAAATAGGAGTAATGAAGTTATATGAAAAATGAACTATAGAAAGATGAGAACATCAAAGATTTGCTTGGAGAAATACATTTAGGAATTTTCAGTAAATACTGCCAGAACAGCTTCTGTTTCAGTTACCTGTTTTTTCTAACAAATTGCCCCAAAATTTACTGACTGGAAATAGCAATTGTTTTATTAAGTCTCACAGTTTTGTGAGTTGACTTAGGAGTTCTCAGGATCCACATGATATTGGCTGAGGATACAATGTTGTGCTGGGATGGAATGGTCAAGATGGCTCATCACATGGGTGGAAGTTGATGCTGGCTGTCACTGGGAACTTCAGCCCTGTGGACCAGAGCACCTCCATGTGGCCTCTCCTTGAGGCATGGGTTTCTCATAGCATGCCAGCCAAGTTTTGGGTATATCCTGAGAGGAACTGGAAATTGTCAGTCTCCCTAAAGGCCAAGCCCAGAAGTGGCATGGTATCACTTCTACCATATTCTGTTGGCTAAGCAGTCACAGGAGTAGCCCATTCTCAAGGGGAAGAAAAATAAACTCCACTTCTCTGTGGGAGGGTGTCAAAGAATGTGCGTGTATTTCTTCTTACTCAAGCATAATTAATACATGGTGTTATATTTTCAGCTGTACAATATAATGATTCAACAATTCTGCATATTGCTCGGTGCTCATCAGGACAAGTGTACTTTTAATCCTCTTCTCCTATCCTCACCCATTCCCCCCACTCACCTCCCCTTTGGCAAGCACCGGTTTGTTCATTATATTTAAGACTCTTGTTTTTTGTGTATACACACACACACACACAACACACACACACCCCTATATATATCTTCTTTATCCATTCCTCATTGAATGGATATTTTGGTTGCCTCTCTTATCTTGGCTTTTGCAAATAATTGTGCAGTAAACATAATAATTCTGCATATATCTTTTTAATTAGTGTTTTCATTTTCTTTGGCTAAAAACCCACTAGTGGAATTACTGGATCATGTAGGATTTCTATTTTTAAGTTTTTGAGGAACCTCCATACTGTTTTCTATAGTGGCTATACCAGCTGGCATTCCCCCAGCAGTGCACAAGAGTTCCTTTTTCTCTACATCTTTGCCAGCACTGTTATTTTTTGTGTTTCTGATTAACCATTCTGACCAGTGTGAGATGATATCTCATTGTGGTTTTGATTTACATTTCTCTGATCATGAGTGATGCTGAACATCTTTCCATGTGTCTGTTGGCCATCTAATGTCTTTTCTGGAAGAATGTCTATTCAGGTCCTCTGTGCAATTATTAATTGGATTGTTGTTAGTTTTTGTCACGTTGAGTTGTATAAGTTCTTATATATTTTGGATTCTAACCCTTTATTGAATATGTCATTTGAAAATATCTTTCCCATTCAGTGGGTTGCTCTTAATTTTGTTGATGGCTTCCTTCACTGTGCAAAAGATTTTTACCTTGCTGTAGTCTCAATTGTTTATTTTTGCTTTTATTTTCCTTGCCAAAGGAGACATATTGAGAAAAATCTTGTTATGGCTGATGTCAGAGAAATTACTGCCTATGTTTTCTGTTAGGAATTTTATGGTTTCAGGTCTCACATTTAGATCTTTAATCCATTTTGAGTTTATTTTTGTATATAGTATAAGAAAAGGGTCCGGTGTCATTCTTTTGCATGTAGCTGTTTAGTTTTCCCAACACCATTTGTTGAAGAGACTGTCTTTTTCCCAATTTATATTCTTACTAACTTTATCATAGATCAATTGATCATAAAGGTGTGGATTTATTTCTGGCTCTCTATTTTGTTCCATTGAGTACCATTCTGTTTTGATTACTACAACTTTGCACAGTATGTCTTGATATCACCAGTTTTGTTCTTCTTTTTCAAGATTGGTTTGGTCTAAGAAAAAGGATGGTTTCTCTGCTACTTTTGATTATAGTTTTTTTTTCCTCCCTTTGTTAAATATGGGGATAATTACAGCTTGTATGGAAGACAGAAGCACTGATTACAAGTTTGTTGTAGCTGGTTAAGATGTGGTGCCTATAAACATAGACATGTTTTTAAAGATATGATTAAATTTCTATTTTAGAAGGGTGTATTTATTATTGATGAACAGTATAGGTTAAGAGAGGCAAAAACAAGATGCTAGAGAAAGGAAGGCTAGATATAACCCACACAGACTAGTTATGAACCAGTAATAATAAAATAAAATAATTTGAACTATGATGTTTCATATGCTTGATATTTTCCCAAGCCCTGTGTATTCTCTGTAATATTCCTGAATAGCTCTCCTCATATTTTATGATCTCCTAACCTCCCTTTTAATACTTTTATCCCTTTTATTTCTTCTATAGTTCTTTTTCTAATCTCATCTTACATTTCCATTGTGTATTTAAGGCCTATAAAATATGCATATCCCTTATGTGTTTTAGCATCCCTTTCCTAATTAAATAATTTCCCTTCTAATTCATGGAATTTTTAATTTCTTTTTAGACAAAGAGATAATTTCAGAAAACCAAGATTCAATTCCAAAGCAAAGAATTAATGGAAAAAAATCCTCTCCTGGAATGATTATGACAAGACTGACCAAAAGTAGATCCCCTTCTTTAGATGCTTGGATGAGTGATGATTGGTTATATAGGAACCAGGAACACTGGGACATAAATTTGCCAGAAGAAGCTTTTGTTCATAAGACAGTCTACACTGAGGTGGGAAACTTTAAAGTTAGTGAGAATAAGAAAAGCTTAGATGTTAAGTCAGTTAATTCAATTTTGAGTATACAACAAGGAAATCCTATGAGAAAGGGGTCCTCAGAATGTGGTAAGTTTAAAACTAACTTCAAATTTAACTTAGACTCAGGTAAGCAATATTCAGAATATAATGAATGTGGGAATGCCTTGAGCCTGAGTATAGATATTCAGCACCCAGAAAGTCATACCTCAGTGAATTCCTATGAATGCTATCAATGTGGGAGAGCCTTCAGCCGGAGTTCATCCCTCATTCGACATCAGATCATTCACACAGGAGAGAAACCCTATAAATGCAGTGAATGTGGGAGATTCTTCAATAGACGTACAAACCTTACTAAGCATCAAAAAATTCATACTGACTCAAAGGTCTGTGAAGGCAGTAAATGTAGAAAAGCTTTCAGTGAGAGTGAAGACAGTAATAAAAATTCAAGACTTCATTCTGGAGATAATCCCTACGAATGTGTTAACTGTGGAAAATCCTTCAGCCGGAGCTCCTCCCTTATTCGACATCAAATGATTCATACAGGAGAGAAACCATTCAAATGTAAGGAATGTGAGAAAACCTTCAACAGGAGTTCAAACCTTAAAAAACACCAAAAACTTCATACTCAAGAGAAGTCCTGTAAAAGGAAGACACACAGACATCAATGAATTTAACATCAATGAATTTATACTAGAGGGAATCCTGTGAATAGAGTAAATGCAAGAAAACATTTGTCAGGGATTCTTCTCTAATTCATATGACAGAATTAATATTGGAGAGAAATCTGTTATTGTGTAGGAATCTATTCCCAAATGAAGCCACAAGGGTTTAGAGTAAAATGTATCACCATACAAGTGTTTGCCTGTCATTATTCTGATAATCCATTTGCCTTCATCATTCCTAGTTCATAAATGGAACCTGTGGCATCCTTATATTCACATGATTTATTGAAGTAGATATTAGGGAGGAGCCAAGCAATCAATATCCTTGGAATTGATATTTAATAAAACTCAAACTTTCAGTCCTTACGAGGTGGTCATGAGAAACCAGGAGCTCACAGGAATATAGGAATACTTCTAAAGACTGAACTCTCTGAATTAATGTTAGAGACCACAGGAATGACAAATTACTCCATGATAATATCTTAGCTCTCTTGATGCTGAGTGGGGACTAGAATTTGAGGAGGATTATCAACTGCAGTGGCAAGTGGATTCTGTATATAGTTGTCACATCTTCATTTTTAAAAGTACTCTTTGGAATGTAAGCTGGAGGGACATCCATATTCTTGGGTCTATCATTTATTCCAAATATTAAGAGGTCAATAAAGTGTCTTAGTACTCTGTTCACTAGTTTCCTTGTTCTGCTGTAAGTTATTTCTGTAAGTTACCTGTAGGATCTTGAGCCAAGAAATTTATCATTAATATGCCCCAAAATATTTATATTGGAGAGATTCCCAATGAATAATGATGGTAGTATTTTGTAAAAGCTCATATCTTATTCAAAAATAGAAAAGGTATACTGGAGTGTGAACACTTAATGATGAGTTAATGTGCAAAATTATTCTCTGTTCATTTGTTCTGTGGTTTCAGGTCTTTAATTCACTTTTTATTTAACTTTTGTGTATGGTATACAGGTGGTCCATTTTCATCCTTTTTTCCATATGACTGTCCAGTTTTCCTAGCACTGTTGATTGAGGAGACTATCCTTTCACCGTTTTATATTCTTGGCTCCTTTGTAGCAAATTAATTGACCACATATATATGAGGGCTTATTTCTGGGCACTTGTTCTCTTCCATTGATATTTATGTCTGTTTATGCTAATACCATACTGTTTTGGTTACTATAGCTTTGTAATATAGATTGAAGTCAGGAAAGGTAATACCTCCAGCTTTGCTCTTCTTTCTCAAGATTACTTTTACTGTTCAGAGTCTCTTGTGGTTCCATACAAACTTTAGGATTTTTTTTTTTCTGTTTCTGTGAAAAATGCCATTGGGATTTTGATAGGGGTTGGTTGCACTGAATCTGTAGATTCTTTGGGTGATATGGACATTTTAACAGTATTAATTCTTCTAAGCCATGAGCATGGAAGATCTTCCCATTTATTTTTGCCTTCTCAAATTTACCCATAGATATTTTATTGTTTTCATGGGGTTGTAAATAGGATCCCATTAACAACTGCATGAAAAGAATAAAATATCTATGGATAAATTTAACCAAGGAGATGAAAGATCTGTACATTGAAAACTATCAGACATTGATGAAAGAAATTGAAGAACACACATATAAATGGGAAGATCTTTGCCATTCAGCCTCAGTGCAGGGAATATCAAAAACCTGCCCCCTCTCTCTGTGCCCGTATGCCATATCCCATGACTTACCAAGGCATTCTACTAGTTGTTATCCATTATATTTATTCATTCTCATTGTTATAGAAGTTTAGCTGGACACAAAGCCACCCAACTTTAAATTTCTGTTAATAAGTACTCATCAATGTGATGTGAACAGAAATGATGTTTGTCACTTCCAAGTCTTGCCCGTCAAGCAGCTAGGCATCATTCTATTCTCCTGACAGGTTTTCCTCTCTCTGCTGGTTGGAGAACTGTGAAAACTGTAGTGATGGCAGTGGACTACAAGTGGAATCCAGTATTAGGAATGGAATCCTGGGCCACCCATCTACCTCCAGACAGTTAGAAATAAACTTCAGCCATGTAGAAGCTCCTTGTTTTGTTTTGTTTCTTTTGTACCACAGGTTGCCCTGTACCTTAGTTAAAATGCTCACCAAATCTTTCAGACTCTTCCTTGTTATCTATCTGCATATGTCCCTACTGGTACTATATTTATATTTCTGGTTACTATCCTCTCTCTTACATTACTTCACCTAGTCTCTGCCTTGAAATTCTGTAAAATGCAGGCAGAGGATCTTTTTGAAATACAAATTTTGATTATTGCACACAAATGCTTTAAACTTTCAAAGACTCCCCATAAACTTTTAAGTGAAATCTAAACTCTGAAATGGCTTGTCTTGCATGAAAGTTCTAATGTTCTCTTGCACTGCAACCTTTGTATTCCATGTGTGAGCCATGCAGCAGCTTCCAGCTTCCCATCTACCACGTGTGCTTAGCTCTAGGGTTTTCCATATGATATTTCCTATTCATGGAGACCTCTTTCTCTTCATCTAGCTAATTTTCACTCCTTCAACTAGAAAGAGTTTTCTCTAGAAAGCTACCTCTGACAAGACTGAGAAAATCTATGTACTAAATTCCACATACTTAGACGTTTACAACACTTACAGGAATTCTATTACAATTATTTACTGGACAGTATCCACTAACTACTTAGTATGGCTTGGGGGGACAAGTAGTCTGTAAAAAGTAGCATACTTTTGTTGCCAGCATACTGGCTGGCAACAAATGGTATTGAATGTGAGTAGGAAATAGACTGACCACTTATTTTTTACACCTCGTTGTAAAACAATGTAACCAAAGATATATTTTAAATATATATTTTGAGAGAGTGTGCATGAGCAAGGGTGAGGCGCAGAGGGAGAGAGAGAATCCCAAGCCTATTGCACAGAGCGTGGAGACCTAGGAGGGACTTGATCTCACGACCCTGAGATCATGACCTGAGCCAAAATCAAGAACCTCATGCTTAACAGACTGAGCCACCCAGTTGCCCCTCTCCAAAGACATTTTTAAATGAATACTGATGATCCCACTACTATAACATTAATACTTTTTTTCAAATTTGTGTATTCCTTTGAATAAAATATGTTCATACTGAATTAGGAATGAATTATGATTAATGGCCCTGACTGGGCTCTGTTTTGCTATCTTCATAGATGTTGAGCTTGGAATTTAGAAATCTACCAATACCAGTTCTCTATCAATCTTCTCCAAGTACTCCTTGATATCCAAGTTGTTTATTCTTGCCCCCATTACTTCATTTTGATTTTGTAATGGCTAAAATACGTTATTTTTTTTAAAAGATCCACAGTTGTCATAGACATTAAACTATGTACCAGTCCAGCAAGTGAGGAAAATCGTATTAGTTACAGAATTTTCCTTTACATCTTCATTGAGGCAAAATAGTAGCATCTCAGTGGGTTTGACTTCTGAATAAAAATGTGTAAGAGGGGGGCGGTAAAGACAGTTTTGTGGGTTTTTATGTGTTTTGTTTTGGTTTGGTTTGGTTTTGTTTTTGCAGTCTTATGAGATAACTTCTATAGGAGAGACCCTATAAAGTGATCCAAGCTCCCACATCCTTAAGGAATTGGATTCCAAGCCCTCCCGTCATTTCCAGAATAAAATCTGCCTGGCTCAGCCCCTAGTTTTGTGACCTCACTGTAGGCAGTACCAAGAGCTGCAAGAGGTTCCTTTTGAGACCTGTGAGATCTCCAGTAAATGCATCTACAATTCGTAGCCTCAGCCTATCAACAAAAACAAAAATCAAGCCTAAACCTCTGCTTGCCCTGGAAGTACCTCTAGTGTGACAGGGCAGAGCAGGCTGGAAGGTTTGGATGCTCAGCCCACCACAAACTGGCAATAGTACCCAACTCCATTCCTAAGGACTCCCAACCCAAGGTAGCCTTAAGGATTTATCCGGGCTGGAAGCCACTGCCCTGTTAAGGCCAGGGCGGGGCAGGGAAGCCAGAAGTGGAACAGCGCAGAGCCTGCGTGGTAGTAGGCAGCTTCGTCCGTCCTCCTGCGCAAGCGCGATGCAGTTCAACGGACTGGGTCTGTTTTCCACCCATAGCTTCGCGTCCGCACTGTGGTTCTGGAATTCACAAGCATTCCCATGAAAACCGGGTAACAGTACTGACTTTTGGACTTCTCTTCTCTTGGACTTGTCATTGGAAGTATACCATGACCTCTAGTCCCCAGTGCCAGGAAGGCCGTTGCCATTTGGTGTCTGCAGACTTAGTGGTTTCTGGCCGGCTGGGCCTTTCTACTTGGGTGTGTTCCGGCTAATCGCGAACCTTTTCAAGTCACGATTTCTCTTGACTATAGCGTGCTCTTTCTAGGACCTTTCTTGAAGTGGTGAAATTAAAATGACATTAAACTGTTAAGATTTAGCAGCAGAATGTGCTGTGAAAATATTACATGGTTTGCACTGTTCTAGAGTTCATTAGGGGACTTTAAGACCCCTGTTAATTCAACCTCTGTAATTTACAACTAAAGTTATTTAAACTCAGAGAAGTCAAATGATTGTCCCAATACCACGCCATTGATAAAAGACCCTAGGTTGAACTTGAGAGTCCTTCAGATCTTTCAGCCACTGTGCTTTTCACTGTTCACCAGCAAAAAAAAAAAGTTAAAGTTCGAATTCATTTGACAGTTAACGTTAATGTTTAGTGGAAGACACCTGTACACATGACTCATAGTGGTCTGTATTATAAGTTCCAGAACATGAACATGGGAAGACGAACAAAAGCACTTGCTAGTGTTACTTTACGTTTTGGAGTGGATCGCATAAGCCTAGTGCAGTACTCAGTAGGTTTGGCCAGATGACATTCTGCATAACTCCTAGTTCACACTGACCCAATGGTTATAAATTTGACATTAGGCGGAAGTATACCTTTTTTTCATAGTAACTGATGTGAGCTTGGGAAACCTAGCTCTTAACCACCAGGCTATACTTATTCCTAAAACTACATGCTTTGCTCAGTCTCCTTCAAATAACCAACTTCCTTCCCCTGCCCTCCCCTCAGGTTATTTATTCGGACTAAAATTGGAATCATACCCTAACTCCTACCCGAAGTTGCACTGGACTAATCCTATGGCACAATTTGAACTTCATATTATCCAGATGAAAAAACCCTACATCTGTAGGAATAGCTCAAACTCCAAAATGAAATCATTAATCTAGACAATGATTTCACTCTTCCTAAAACCGTATGTGCTCAACCACAAGTTTTTGCATGCAGTTCCTCCTGTCTGTAAATGATTTTGGTCTTCTTTTTACACATTAAAATGCTATCCAAAGCCCAATTTTAAAACTACCTTCTGACATATTCATCTTACTCAAAATCTATAAAAAAATTTTGATTATTTCTCTCACCTCCCCTGTTAATACTAGGTTAACACCTTATCTCTTGTAGGCATTATTGCAATACCTCCTAAGTGGAACACTTGCTTTGCCTCTAGCCCCTACCTTTGGTAAATTCTTCATAGCCTTAGAGTGACCCTGTCAAAATTTAAATCATACCCCTTAAAACCTTTCAATGGTTTTTCATGCTATCTTTAACCTTACTTTTTTATTTAAATTGTTAATCAACATATAGGGTATTATTAGTTTCAGAAGTAGAGTTCATTTTTTTAGTATGTTTTCCAAATTTATGCTCATGAGCACACAAGGGAAAAATAAAATGAATAATTAAAAAAGGAAGCTATCTCCCACTGTTAAAACTCACTGACACCACACAATCGTGTACTAAATGGCCTGTGGCCTCCATTCTTGCTCATTCTCTTTCCCTCACTCTATAACATATCCAGTCTCCACACTGTTAAAGTCATCTTTCCAAAATGATAGTATCACACCCTCCTTTAAGATTCCTTAATGTTTCTTCATGACTAACAAAAACTTTTTAGCTTGACACAGAAAGTCCTTCCTGATCTGGCCATCCTCTAACTTCTCCTTCCAGTTTCACACTTGCTATGCCATCAGTGTCAGGCTACTTGTAGCCAGCCATTTACATCATCTGTTTTCATGATTTCATTTCTTTGCACAAATTACACTTCTGCAACCTATATTCCAAACCAGTAATTGAATATAGAAAATTGTAAAAGTTGACAGAAGTAATCAGAAACTTCATACATGATGACATCTATGGCAGTTAAATTCATGATATAAAAATGAGAAGCCTGGGGGTGCCTGGGTGGCTCAGTGGGTTAAAGCCTCTGCCTTCGGCTCAGGTCATGATCCCAGGGTCCTGGGATCAAGCCTCGCATCGGGCTCTCTGCTCATAAGGGAGCCTGCTTCCTCCTCTCTCTCTTCCTGCCTCTCTGCCTACTTGTGATCTCTGTCAAATAAACAAATAAAATCTTTAAAAAAATGAGAAGCCTGAATCCCTGATAATAGAGATAAAACACAATGAAATATCATATAGCCATTAACATTTTAAATAAGTTGTATATATAAATGTGATTTTATTTTTTATGAAAATAAAATAAAAATATAAAAAATACAGCAAAGTATGAAGAACATAAAGATAGCCACAATCCATCCTATCAAATAGATCCACTAATAATATTTTTTGTGTGTATATATATGTGTGTGTGTAGCCAAGGTTCTATATATATATATAGAGAGAGAGAGAGCCAACTTCTCCCCATGGGAATATATATATATATATATATATATATATATATATATATATATAATCTTACCCATATATAGTTCTATATCTTTTACTTCACTTAACACCATTAAGTATATTATTACAATATTTTTGGAAAATATAACTTTTAATGACTGCGTAACATTACACATACAGGACCTTTCCCCTATCTGGGTGGGAGGAGTACAGGATAAAAAACACTGCAATAAATAACTTGAACATTTATTTATCTTTGTGTGTTCTAATATAGTTCAGAATGCTTAAACCTGCTACTTTCTGGAGAAATCTTTTGGAACAAGAGCCTTTAAGGGCCATATTATATGCCTTATTATCCCATCACTGAGCATGTCTGAAGGGACCAGTGTGAACATCAGATACAAAGCTAGCCAATCCAAAGGCTTCCCAGTAGCCTATGCCTTAGCCTGACCTCAAAGGCTTGTGTAGAGGTAGTAATGAAAATTGAGCCAGTCATCTTTCCCCACTCAGAAATCTGAATAGAGACCCAGAAGGAAGTTACAAGTTAGTGGTAAGCAATAGAATTTAAAAATATATTCATGGATGTGGTGGCAATTCTAGACTGCAGAATCAGTAAACAGGTCAACATGTAGAGGGGAGAGGCTACCCAAAGGGAAATAAGTTTTTGGGAGAATGGCTTTGTGTAATGGCTTTCCAGAGTAAGTTCCTATATAAAAGCTTTTGTCCTATTTTTTCTGTGAGATTTTAAAACATGAATGTTATAGAGCTCTATCTTTGTTAGATAACTTAAGTGGGTCTCTGTTCTTTGGAAATAGAATCACTCTAATAATGTGTAATCTATTCCCAAAAGATATATGCCTAGACATGAAATAGCTGTTGGAAGGAATATCAACAATTTTAAGGCTTATGATTAGCCAAATAGCTTTCCAGAGTCTATCAATTTACCCTCATTGTAAATAGTGTATAAGTATCAATCACTCTGTACTCTCACTGAAGATAGCTATTAGAATTGTTAATAGAAGTGGTGTTTTATTGCTTTAATCTGTGGATGTCCTTTGCCAATATTTAGTAGATGCCCATCTTACTAATTTATAGAAGTTCTTAACTGTCAGAGTCATGACAAATATTTTTCCTATTATCTAATTTCCATGTTTTTTACCTACAGTTTAGAAAATTTTATGTGGCCAAATTCCTAGGTATTTTTTCTGAGTTCTTCCTTTTTATCTGATTCTTTAAAAAAGCTTATGTGTGTGTTTTCATCTATATAAAAATCCACTTTGGTGAATTCAAACATTCATGTTAAAGTAGCACAACCCTCTTTAGAAAGAAATTTTATGCTAATCTTGAATATGAATTAGATGAAAATGAGGTTAAATTTGTAGTTCATTTCTGATGTACCATCCTACATGAAACCACATGGAGGTTCACAGAAGTCGGCCTGAAAACCTGTGCTTTAATTAATACATATTAGAACAATATATATATGATGTAGGTCATGAAAGTCCAATTTAGTTTTTTACCAGAGTTAAATCATTTTCTTAGCACCATTTACTGAATAATCATTTTCCTATTCATAGGTATTTTTAATATGTAAAGTATATATGCATATATACTAAATATATTACATATGTTATCCATATACTGGTCTGTTTCTAAGCAATTTACTGAGCATTCTGAACATTTTTCTCAAATGTACAATCAGTTTCTCCATTAATTTCAATATATCACTTTTTTTTTTATCATTTGCTTTTTATTTTGGGGCAATGTCATTGATCTTTTAAATTATCTTTGCTCTTCTCCAGTGTCTGTTTTTCTTAAAAGACTTTAGATTTTTTTTTAAATTTCAGATCTCATTGGGGTTTTGATGAAATTTGAAATCTATAGATTAACTTAGGAACATTTCCTCTAAAAAAAATTATAAGACTTCTCTATGCAAGTCCTCTTTTATTTCATTGTTTTCATTCTACATTTTTACTTGTTCTTCTTTAGAAAATAAATTTAAGTGTTATTATAAACCATACTTTTTCCTACCCATATTTTCTGATTATAGCAAGAATTTAGGAAACTACTGGTTTTTATATTTTTACTCACCTTATGTATTTTATCTAACACCCATAGTCTCCCTCTCAGGCATTTATATATAATCTGCTTTTATACTCAGATATGTGTATAAAATGTGTGTTAAATATATGTGTATAATATGTGTGTTAAATATTTTTTTACACAGCTACTTATTTTGGACACTTGACTGTTTAAATGATGTTAGTTCTCATTGCCAGTTTTAGGCCATAATTTCCACATTCTTGAGCTCTCTTTAAGAAAGGAACATGTGATGAGTACTGGGTGTTATACACAACTAATGAATCATTGAACACTACATCAAAAACTAATGATGTACTATATGGTGGCTCACTGAACATTAAAAAAAATGTATGATGTTTCCTGTCTTATCTAATCTATTACCTGCATAATTTAGACAATAATGACAATTTAGTTGATTAAAAATAATACCATAGGTGATAACAGGTTTTTAATCTCACATTTCTGAAGTTGATGTTCCACTCTCCTTTGACATTTACTTTTGGAGTTCTTTATCCATTCTCTTTTCACCAGCTTTGCAGATTAGCCAGAATTTTTCTTTCTGCATGCTTTAGGTTGTTTTCCCTAAGCTGTTTCTAAGATGGTTTTTATATTGTTTTTTTCTAAAATCTAGTGAACATATATATGTTTAGCTCAGGTAAAATATCTTCATTTCTCTGATCATTGATTCTATTCAATATTCTTTTAACTTTCTTAGAAACACCTTTAATTCCTACATTAGATCTCCATTCTTTGTACTTCCTGTCTTTTCTCATTATTTCCTTCTCATTATCCTTTTTGTATACACTGAAGATGAATCTCAAGTTCATTCATTACAGTATTTGATATTCTGCAGTGCCAATTCTGCTTCTGTTGCCTTTAACTTTGATCCGTTTTAAATTTCCCTGTAGTCCTTCATTGTTTTTTGTTTTAGAGGTTCTTCTCTACTTACTGATTTCTGCTCTAGTTTTACTGAATTCAGTTTTTTTTTTTTTTTTGTAATGCTACTCAAGACACCTGTTTTTTTTAAATTTCTTCAGGAGACTGAAATAGCTAATTTTCAGGGCTGTCAGGTTTTAACTCTTCACGGTAGTGTTCTTTCTTTGGTACTGCAATTCCCTGTTATTTCCCGAACAAGTCCACTTAATTTAGTATCTCTTGGGCAATGATGTCTAAACATATTTATATTATCAATAGTTAGGACTTGTATATTCCCGCTGACTCCACTCCATTTTTACAATGGCCAGATTCTCTCTTCTTCCATAATTAGGTTTTAGTTCAGTTTTGCACATAGCTTTGAGTTTAGTTCTGCTTTCAGCAGCTATTTCTCTATTCTCTCTCTCTTCTAAGAATAAATCAGTCTACTGCTTAAATATCTAATTATGAACAGATGGAGTATCTTCAGTTTCCTGACAATTCACTTCTATTAGCTTTTACTGACATCTTTCACACCCTACTTAGAGACATTAAATATTGTATTTCTTGTTACATGGTATCTGAAGCTATGAATCAATGTGGAATCCTGGGAAGAAGGATGTGAGAGTGTGCTATGATAACCTGAAAGTGCAGCACCCCTGCAAAAGATGGTTCCTGACTTTTCTGGCTGACAGAGATAACATCTCTACAACATCCTGTCTCAGGTGAAGGATCATGCAGTACTTCCCTATCTTATGTCATAAGCAATCAAATTGTCCTGCCTTGTAATTTAATTCTTCCACATTTAAGCAATAGGTTATCTACCAGTTTGAGTTTGAGGTTTTGTGTGTGTTCTTCTTGTGGCTTCCTAGGAACTTTACAGAGGAGTCAGGATGCTGTTTCATAGCTAGCTAGCCAATTTGCATTAAAAAAAAAAAAGTAAATGTCTCAAAGTCAGTGAAAAGATAGAGTTGAATATACAGTGTGATTTCACTCACATGAAAATGCACACAAAAAAGGCTAGAACAAAACAGGATGAAGAGTTTTCTTCTTGAATCTTTCATATATTTTATAATGGATATGTATAATAGAAAAAGTAAATACACTTTCATTTTAAATATATAGGCATCCTCCTAAGGATTTCTTCTTGAACCAAATGATTCTTAGTGGGAGTTGGGGGAAACTAGAAATGTTGCTTGGGATTATTTGGGTTTATTTATAGACTTTTCTTCCCCGCAGCATTTATTGGGCTGAATGTTAAGCTTTGATTAAAGTGGTTAACTAAGTAAATGTAATTATAAGGTTTCTCATGTGTGATTATTGTGAAGATGAGAATTTTGATCAAATCCCTTATAATACTCATGGCATTTATGAGGTTTCTCTCCTATGTGGACTCTTTGATGAATTCGAAGAGCTGAGCTATGACTGAAACCCTTGCCGCACTTAGTGCATTGATAAGGCTTCTCTCCTGTGTGCACTCTCTGATGAATGTGAAGATTAGAGCTGTGACTAAAGCCCTTTCCACAATCATCACATTTATAGGGTTTTTCTCCTGTGTGGACTCTCTGGTGAATGAGAAGGTGGGAACGCTGACTGAATCCCTTACCACACTGTTCACATTTATAGGGCTTCTCTCCAGTATGTACTCTTTGATGAGTATGAAGCTTCGAACTCTTGCTGAAGCCCTTCCCACATTCATGACAAGTATAGGGTTTCTCCCCAGTATGGACCCTCTGATGAATACGAAGATCAGAGCTATGACTAAAGTCCTTGCCACAGTCGTCACATTTATAAGGCTTCTCTCCTGTATGTACTCTCTGATGAATTTGGAGATTTGAGCGCTGGGTAAAGCCCTTACCACAGTTATCACATTTATAGGACTTCTCTCCCGTGTGGACTAACTGATGAATCCGAAGATTTGAACTCTGACTGAAGCCCTTGCCACACTCATCACACTTATATGGTTTCTCTCCTGTGTGGACTCTCTGATGAACATGAAGTACTGAACTCCGACTAAAACTCTTACCACACTGATCGCACTTAAAAGGCTTCTCTCCTATGTGAAGTCTCTGGTGAATCTGAAGTAATGAATTTCTACTGAGGTCCTTATTACACTCAGATTTATAGAGTTTCTCTTCTGTGTGGACTCTTTGATGACTGTGAAGACTAGAGATCTGACTGAAGCTCTTACCACACACGTGGCATATGTAAGAGACCTCCCCTGTATAGACCCTCTGATGAAAGTGAACACCTAAGCTTTGCCTGAAGTTACTGTCAACTTCATCACATCCATACAGCTTCTTACCTATGTGAATTCTTGGATGTCTGTACAAGTTTGATCTCTGAGAGAAGCATGCTGTGCTGATAGAGCATTGAAAGAACTTTTCTCCACGTTGATTTCTCTTGTGGAGAACACACTGTGAGTTCCAATAATAAATTTCTTTACATTTATTACATCCACAGTATTTCTCTTCCACAGAGTTTTTCAGTAGGTCATGTTGACATAGTTCCTCAGTGTACTCTGGAAGGGCTTCTACTGTTGGTACATAAGAATGCTGAACTATGAGCTTCTGTTCTTTTTCCACAGAGAGATTTTTCCTAGATATGCCAAGATGGCATCTGCTTCCTTGAAAACCACGTAAATCATTCACATAGATTTCTCTAGCATAGTCTTCATGGGTATGTTTTGTTTCTAAGGACTGCCAAGGTATAAACTTTGTATATTTTAAGTTCCTGGGACTTTTGCCTTCAAAAGTTAATTCACAGTTCCCATTCTGTGGTACTTGGGTGGAGAGTATTAACCATTCCTGATGGTGGGAAAGATCTTGTTGCTTTAGGTCTTTCAAAACTATTCCTTGGATGGTTTCCACATAGTTTCTATTCTCATATATCTGAGTCCTGGCATTCCTCCAGCCTTGCCAGCAGGGAAGATTTTCATGTTTTAAGTATCTAAATCTTTCTTCTTGGGGTTTGTAGCTCTCTTTCCAGTTTCCTAGAATAAGCAGATAATCCATTGGTGAGATAAATGTGGTTTTTAAAAATTTCCAAGTATCTCAAGCATTGACTTCCAGAATTACAGGAATAAATGTGTGGGTGGGAATGGGAAAGGATTATGCTTAGGCTGCTCCATATTTCGTCTGAAATTCATACGTTTGTTCATTCATATATATACATTCATTCACTTATTCAGACATGCTGTAGATGTATCTTGAGCATCTGCTACTTATCAAGTACTGTTAGAAATAAACAAGTAAGGCTGACTGTTTTATGGAAATCATCTTAAAAACAGATTTAATTAGATTACTCTGTTTGGAGCATTATTTTAAGAAATAAAATATTGTTTCTATTTTTTTGTTCTAGCAGAGTGTGACCGGTTGTGTGAAAAAATGGCTGCATTAACTCTGTACCTCTGGGTGTTCCCCTTCCATGCTGACTTTAGCTTGGCTATACAATTTGGTTTAATGGGACGATAGCAAAAGTGATACAAACAGAGACTTGAAAGTGCCTGTGTACTTGGAGCTTGCCCTCTTTTTGCTAGTTTTGAAAATTCTATGACCACCACCACGTAAACAAGCCTGGGCTAGCCTGCTTGAAGAGCGACATATGGTCAACACATTCCCATTATCCCCACTGCTACCAACCAACTCCCAGACATCTAAGTCTGACTGTCCAGCCTCATCACAAACCATCCAGCCCCAATCAGATCACTCTGTGATAGAAGATCCATCTAACCAATTAGAATCATGAAAAATAATGTTTTAAGTCACTAAGTTTGGGGTAGAGTTTGTTATACAGCAAAAGCTAACTTGTATAAATAGTATGAAGAGAGAACAAATTTAGGACCACACAAAATAGATGTGTAGAGGTCTGCATTTTAAGTGTAATCCAGAAAATGAGTAAGAATAAAAATCACAAATACCTATTAATTACATAGCCTAGGTGTCTTGGGAGATGTCTTGCTCTATCTTCTGTCATCTGATTTATGACCCATTTCTGAGGGTCATATTCCTTCTATCTCAATACAATACCTAGATAAAGAACCAAAATACTCAACAAAACTGGTTCCAGAGGATACTAATTCTGTTACCTAAGAGCTGGGATAACTTTACCTACTGACATGACATTTGTGTAGTTCTCCCACATGACCTCTCTATAGAGCTTTTTTTGAGAAGAATCCAGGAATCTCCATTCCTCCCAAGTAAAAATAACAGTCACATCTTCAAATGTTACTGCCATCTGGTCAAAGATCAGGTTTTCCAAGAAGAGACCTAAGGGAGAAGACGGACAAGGAAACAGCCATTCAGCAGGTAACATAAATGACAAATGAAATCAAAAAAGAAAGAACTTCAGTAATGAAATAAACAAGAAAAGTAAGAGGATACTTAATAATGGGGATGGCTAAATAATGTATTTAGTCACTGAAGCCCATCACAGTCATAAGAAACATATAATAGCATCTGTCTGCTAACCACTGGGCTAAGGACTTCACATATACTTTGTAATCCTCACAGCAACCTTCTCTTATAGATACTATTATTATCCCGATTTTTAAAAAATGAGTAAGTAATGGTTGAAAAAGATTAAGTCAATTGATCCCCCAATACTTTTTATTCTGGAAATGTTCATCTTCCTGCTCCAATCTGGGCTGGCTATTCTTTAGTGCTCCATTTTCAAGATCATATACTTCTTTTTCCCTTTTGTGATTTACTCCATTAATTGGGAGGTATATGCCCAAATGAGTTCATACTTATGAATGTTAATTTCATGGCCACTGAAAAAAAGAAAAGGTGAGAAACAAGCTAAAGTTTTCTTCAGGACACACATTTGGTTTAAAGGAGAATGTCCAAGCTTGCTTAGTGTCCTTATCATCACTCACAAGTGGCTGGGTATCAAATTCAAGAGTGAAAAGAATTTTTCTCAGAATTGCTTCACTGTTTGTATGCCTTCATTGTTGTTTCTAAGACCTTTTTTTCTTTAATTCTCATTCCTTTGTGAGCAACTTTTTCTTTGCTCTCTGTAAATATTTTAGGGTACTCTTTTGACTGGCCCTCTGCCTCCAATGGTATGGATACATCTTCTTCTTCTCTGTAGTTCAAAGGGTTTATCAAATCCTTCTTGTGCTTATTCCCCTGTGAAGCATTCCAGGATGTAAAGTCTTTAGCCCTATGAGGCTCTTACCACCGTTCTGCCTCTTGCTTTCCAAGTGTGTGTGTGTGTGTGTGTGTGTGTACGCGCGCGCGTGCACGTGTGCGTGCGTGTTTTAGGAAGTTATTTATTTATTTATTTATTCATTGAGAGAGCGTACACACAGGGATTTGTGGGGATGCAGAGGAAAAGGGAGAGAAAATCCCAAGACTCCGGGCTAAGTATGGAGCCTGAGGTGAGGCTAGATCCCACCACCCCAAGATCATGACCTGAGCTGAAATCAAGAGCCAGATGCCCAACTGCCTGAGGCACCCAGGCATCCCTTCCAAGTTTTTGTTGAAATTCCTTATTTTCTGATGGCTCCTTATTTCATCATTGAAGATTCAGACAGTTTTTAGTTTCTTATTACCATCATGAAGTTTTAGAAAAAAGAGATAAATATATGTATTCAAACCGCCCAAAAATTATTCTTTTAGTGGAGAGAACACCTCATAAATAGGTTATTTGACAAACTGATTTCATTTTTTGATGACATTCTCAATTCTAAAGTTCAATTAAGAATGTTTAGTAAATACTATGAATAAAGGAAATTGGTAGATTTCATGGAGGAAAACCTAGAATATCATGACTACCAAATCATTATAATCATAGCAGTTAAATATTATCAAGAAGTTATGTGAAAAGGGCTGTTATTTATTATCACAATAATCCTCTAAGGTATAATTATCAATACTAAAGGAATAAGGAAACCAACATTTAGCAAGATTAAGTAACTTGGACAAGGTCATGCAGTTACAAAATAGTGGCCTACCTACTAAGTCAAGTCAGAGAAGTCAAAAACAACTTGGTAAAGGATTGTAAATCAAGATTTCCATGTTTATCCTTATTGTGTTAGCAAAAGGACAAAAGGAAGATGTACTGAAATATTCAAGGATTCAAAATATACCACCCACATACTGCTTTCCAAATAAACTACATGAAAATCCATGTGTAAACAATGAAGTACTAAGCACAAATGACAATTCAAGAAGGAGAAAATACAATGCTATTTTTAAATGTTTATAAATGTTAAAAACTCAGAATATAGTAAGTCTATTTTAACACATACAAATGAAATTATAAATAAAATCAGAAAAGAAAAATGGGATGTTTAGATTCCCAGAAGACAAGACTGAAAACTGGAGTCAGAACAGAAAATAAATGAACTCACTGGTTCCTTATTTTGTAAAAAGTACAGAAAAATAAAACTCAGCCTGTTGTTACTGGCTTTGTTATTTTTTAAATATTTAAGAATTTATTTAAAAATTATACTAGAGGGGCACCTTTGTGGCTCAGTCAGTTAAGTGGCTAACTCTTGATTTCAGCTCAGGTCATGACCCCTGGGTCCTGGGATGAAGCCCTACCTCAGGCTACATGCTCAGTGAGAAGCCAGCTTGAGGATTCTCTCCTCCAGCCCTTTCCCTCTCTCCCTCTACCCATCCCCTTGCTTGTGCATGTTCTCTCTCTCTCAAATAAATAAATCTTAAAATATATACTAGAGATTGAGTCCAGTTGCTCTCCCAAAAATAAATTCATAAAATTTTAAAATAATTCTGAAGTAATATAAATAAAAACTGAAAGCCTACTCTCCCCAAATAACTTGAGAAGTAACCAGGATATTTTTTACTGTCCTTTCTGACTTTTTTTCATGCATACCCACAAACATACATACCCCACTGACATTTTTTTCTTAACTAAGACATGATAATTCTGGTTTGCATTTTTCACATAATACATAATGTACAACTTCACATTTCAGTACATATGTCTATTTTATTTGTGGTGGTTTTAAAATACATCCACAAATTATTTGAATATAATAATACTATATTCAAGAGGTATAGCCAGTTCCCCACCCTTCAAGCATGGGCTAGACTTAAGGACTCACTTCTAATGAATTTTATATAAAAAACAGAAGAGTAAGAAGTAATGCTGTGCAACTTTCAAAACTAGCTCTTAAAGGCACTGCAGCTTCCACCTCGCCCATTTTCTTAGATCACTCACTCTTGGAGAAACCGCCTTCCATGTGGTAAGAATACTTAGGAGTCCTGTGAAGATGCCATGTGGCAAGGAACTGAGGCCTTCTGTCCTCTGAGAAATGAGGCATCCTGCCAACAGTCACATGGTGAACCATCTTAGCAGAGGATTCTCCAGCCCCGTGAAGCCTGCCAATATCTGCAGTCCGGCTGACAGCTTGACTGCAGCCTCATGAGAGACCCTGAGCTAGAACCACACAGCTACACTGCTCCCAGCTTCCTGGGAGATAATGAGATATTATTAGGAGTGACAAAATAAATTTGTGTTATTTTAAACTGCTAAATGTAACTTACTATGCAATAAATATTGTTCTAGCAAACATTCTATTAGAGTTTAATTACTATTACAAATTGTTTTAGAAAACAAAGTGAAAGCTGCTAGCTATGTGGCTAGTGTAATCTTGACTCCAAGACCAGATAAAGACAATACAAAAAAGTTAGATTATAATCCCATTTGTAAATTTTATAAATCTATAATAATCCTAAATAAAATATTAGATAATTGAATTCAGAAGTACTTTAAATTATGCATCATGGTCAAGCATCATTATAGGAAGGAAGGACAGTTCAATATGAGAAAATCTATCAATATTATTTATTAATAGACTACAGAAGAAAACCATAATTAACTGATGAAGAGAAATCAAGTGATAAAGTTCATAATGTTCAACACCTTTATATGGTCTTTTTTTTTTAACAATTTTATTTATTTTTATTTATTTGAGAGAGAGAGAGAGAGCAGGAGAGGGGAGAAGGCCAGAGGGAGAAACAGACTTCTCAAGGAGCTGGGAGCCTGATGCGGGACTCAGGACGTGAGTTGAAGGCAGTCACTTAATCAACTGAACCACCCAGGTGCCCCCCTTTATATGGTCTTTAAAAACTTTTAGCAAAGTAGGAATAAAAAACCCTCTTAATTGATAAAGTTTACATATTAGGAAACTATATCAAACATTAAGCTGAATGGACAAACTTTGTGTTTCTTTTATTATGGTAAACAAGTTAAGAGTGACTCCAGTCACCACTGCTTTCAACATAGTATCAAAGGTCTGATAAACACTGTAAGAAAATGAAACGAGGCATAAGGATTAGAAGTAAATAAAAAAATGTAACTATTTGCATATATTATGGCAATCTACCTAGAAAAACCAAGAGTACATAGATAAACCTTAAAATAAACAGAGCTCAGCAAAATTACCAGATACAATAAAGCGTAACAACCACTAGAAAATGGGGGACACCATTCACCAAAAGCAAAACAAAAACCAAAAAAACCACTATCTTAACCAAGAATATAAAGAACTCTTGGAAGATAACATTTAAATTCGAGTACGCAGAAAGAAGACTTAAATAAAAGGAAAGGCGTACTTCCATGTTCTTGGATGGGTTGAATTAAATTCAGTATACCACCCCATCAAATTCCAACTGGATTTTTTTGAGGAACACAATATACTTTTCCCCTAAAATTTACAGGGAAAGAAAAGAAGAATATAATATACTTAAGTAAACCAAGCAGGAAGACTTGCGCTGCCAAACAGTGACACACCGCCAAACTACAACAGTAAAATGAGAACTGACAAATAGACCAGTAGAACAGCATGGAAGATTCAGACTGTGCTTGTTTATATACAACACATTAATAATGAAGATGGCATTAAAAATAAAAGTTAAGAATGGATTATTTACTAAATGGTGTTGTGATAACTGAGTAACTATATGAGAAAAAATAAAAGTGGATTCCAACTTAGTATCATATACAATGTAGACACTAGATGGATTAAACACTTCAAGTGGGGGGCACCTGGATGGCTCAGTTGGTTAGGCATCTGCTTTCAGCTCAGGTCATGATGCCAGAGTCCTGGGATAGAGCCCCACATCAGGCTCCCTGCTCAGCGGGGAGCCTGCTTCTCCCTCTCCCTCTCCCTCTCCCTCTGCCTGCTGCTCCCCCTGCTTGTGCTGTCTCCCAAATAAATAAAATACTTTTTTTAAAAGGGAAAAGTATAGAGTAAACAAAAGAACATGGAGTTGAAAAACATTTATCATTCTGAAAT